TATCAGTTTGCTCGCAGTAGCCTGATACCCTGGCAAATGTATCTTGAACTTTCAGATACCCACCAATTCTAATCTCTCCTTCAATTGTACCGCCAGTTTTCCTTCCAGAAAGAACATCCATAAGTGTTGTTTTACCTGCTCCGCTGACACCCATCAATGCTGTTAAGATACCAGGTCTGAATGCACCAGTGATATCGGAGAGAAGCTGCAGCTTTCTCTGCTTAAAACCTCGTTTTCTCATTTCCTGAGACAAAAATAATGAGACCAGAAGCCCCAAAACTAGAATATTTACAACTACATTGGAGTTACGGAGTAAATCTAGCTGTAGGATTGTTACCAAAGGGGTATCAACATAGTACTGCACATCCTGGAATGCCACAGCTAGGGGCTCGAAAGGCAAAACCATTTTTCCTGTAAAAATTGAACACAAATGTAGATTAACCACACATTTGATGTTAAAGAGCAATATAGACAATACAAACACCAGTATTAAACATGCTCACCTTTTCTAGTTCCTGCAATACTTCTGCTTTCTTTGTGTATACTACCGCTATCTCTGCCATCTTCTAGTCCTTGTAGTTGAGAGTATCTTTCAGAAGAAATTATAGCACGAGACTTTCCTGGAGCTGAACGTATATCAACATATGGATTAGCGCATATGCACAAAATATCTGTAGGAGAGGACCTCCCTGGCAGTGCAAGATAAACTTACGCTTCAAGAAAGTCAAAGCCAAGGTAAATATAGCATTGAAAAGTACTGTGAATCCAAATAAAGCTGCAATAGATATCCAGTAAAAGTAGCTGTCAAAGTTCAATCCTCGACTTTCTAAAGTTTGTTGTCCTGCGGTTGTGTTTCCAAACTTAACCTATAAACAAAGTTAAAGAACTCATCATTGATGGAGGCTCTGATAGATCACAATCATTAAAGATAAGAAGCAGCAAATGGGAAAAAAAAGGCATCAAAAATCCTATTCAAGCGGCTGCTACATGTTAGCACTGTTTTTTCTTGTGCTCAGCTCCTGCCACAGCCCAAACTGAGATTTAAGCTTAAACTTTTCAAGGAAAAATTTTCTTGGATATGAGAAATTGAAAAGAAAAAGTTGAAGACGAAGCAATGCAAGCAGCTTCACAGAACAAACTCAAGCAGCCTGCAATTTTTTGAGTAGTCAAATGTTACCTTTCCCCACCGACGAGCAAGAAATTCATTCAGGGTCAAGCCTATCTCCCCATATGACATGGGATCAAGCCAAAATCCCCATTTTAACCAAGGTGGCATAGATGCTGCAACCATATAAGGAGGAAAATAAAAGAAAAAATTCTGAGCATTTATCTAAGCAAAGGATAGTCACATTAATTTGTGAAGAGCATTTAATGATATTACGTTTTGGAACAATGAAGCCCCCAAATGATGAAATAATCAGTAGCATAAGAGAGCCAGCAGTTGTAGAAGCAACTATAGTTTGGGAGAATGAGGCAATTAAACGGAACATGGACATTGATGATAGGTGCACTCCAAAGCATACGAGGAACTGGCGGAAGAACCTGATAGGAACAATACAATATAAAAATGAGACACACAGACATACAAATGAATTCAAAATTTATAACTTCAGTACTTTGAAAAGTGAACTGTCGACGCAGGAGTTAAATACATGCTGTGTTATTCTTGATTTAATCCATGTGTTTAATCTAAAAAACAAAAGAAGCTCATTGGTATGCTCCATATAATGCTAAGAGCTGGATGGTTAAAGTCATGAAGCCTGAAAGTTGATTACTACATCAAAATAGGAGATTCAAAAGTTGGATCTGGACATTATCAACTTCCATTTCAAGTCAATGCAACATAACTAAAAGTTCCATTTATGGAACTCACCCTCCAAACTCAGGGCTGTAACCAATGACATAATAAGTAAGAGAAGTCCACAAAAAGGACTCCAAGAGTGAAAGTGGAAATTTTAGGATTGCTGCAGGAATTGCATAAGCCCACGCAGGATAGAAGCACAACTCTCTCTGTTTGTAGAAAACTTGAAGTCTTGATACGGTCATGCTCAATTCTGGAAATCCATCAACAACTAATATGATGAGAGTAAAAAATAGAGAACCCATAAAATAACTTGCATGGATGAGATCGACAGCCATTTTAGTGCGCAGGAAAACGGTCATGGTCATTGAAGCAACTATGACAAGCTGCAGAGAAAAATAATCCAACAATATTGCGTTTAGCTGTGAAAGATAAATATGTAAGTTGATCATAGATAATGACAGTCTAATTCAAACATGATATTGATTACCTGTACAGACTTAAACACATACATAAAAGAATTCCTCTTCATTAGAAGGAACTCCCTCATTGAGCAAGCTTTAAACAGTTCCCATTTACTTAGCGAGTATGTTTTGAGTGATAAAGAATCTTTGCCACTTTGAGTCTTGTTAAATGGCTTTGAAAGCTCCTCATCTAGACTCAGGCCAATCTTACATTCTTTGAACTTTTGGATGAACTGGTCAACAGAAACATAACTGTAAGGTTGTTCTTTATGGTACCAATACTGCACTTGATCTTTTCTAGATATTACCTGAACCAGATAAAAAGGGAAACCATCTAAGAAATGAATGAAAAGATGGAAATAAGACAACTATGAACCTCATAAGTATACCTCCTGAAGGAAGTCAGCAATGCCCTTTCTTTCTGGGCACTTAAATCCAGAGTCCTCAAAAAATTTGCAAATAGTAGTGCATGGGCCATGATACACAACTTTCCCTTCTGCCATCAGAATAACATCATCAAAGAGATCAAAAGTCTCTGGTGCAGGCTGAAGAAGTGAAATCAATGCGGTAGCATCAGTAATATGCGCCAAATGCTGAAGGCAGGATATAATCTGGAAAGTGGTTGAACTGTCAAGTCCATTTGATATTTCATCCATGAATAAAGCTTTTGTTGGCCCCACAATCATCTCCCCTGCAATTAAAAGAAAATTGATCCTATTCAACTGAATACCTGGACATTTATCTGCACTGCATTCTCCAAAGAGTTTCTTGCCAAGCAACCAAATGACACAAACCAGCAAGTCTACCCACAAATATACACTACCTGTTGTCAATCTCTTCTTTTCACCGCCTGAGATACCTCTTCTTATGGCATCTCCAACCATTATGTCAGAACAGATGTCAAGTCCAAGAATCTGCAAATACGTTTTTTTTGTAAAGGAAAAAATGCCACATGAATCCATGTTTCAAGAAGATACTAGTAAACAATACTAAGGGATTTTGTCCGACCTTCAGAATATAATCTGTATGAAGGGTACTTTCCATACCTTCAACTGATATTGCCTGTAAGAAACAATTTCAGATAAGAGCTAGATCAATAGTATACAGAACATTATGCAAAAGAAGGGAAAATCTGTGATAAAATCTTTAAGGAATTGATTTCTATAGTTAAAAGGAATAATCATTTATTTTTTCATAATTATTATTAATACAAAAGTAGCAAAGGAGAGAAAGTTGGGCTTAGCTTCAATGAGTTCGTTTTAGTTAGTTACACCAGGTAAAAGCTATCAATTTCATAATGCGTCATTCAAACCAAATATGAGTTTTGCAGTTGTTACTAGGGATTAAGACACTCTATGGTTTTAGCTCAATTTGGTAGCCCAAGACAATGAGAACACTAGCAACTATAAAATGGTTTAATTAGAAGGTGTAAAAGCTTTCTAATTTATCAATATATATCTGCATAAAGTTAAAAAAAAAAAAAAACCAGCACCTCCATTTGAGCAATCTTTTTGAGAATTGAAAATAAAATAGACAAACTAAATAGTAACCTTCATGTAAGCATCTACATCAGGATTTGGAATTATCCCTGCCTGCTTCTCTCTTCTGATGACTTCCTTCATGATTACTTTCATAAGCATACAACAGATTAGCAATTTCATAAACAGTAACTTCATCAAAATCACCATTTATACATGGCACTAACCAGCTCTGCTTCCTACACCCTGGAAGCGTGCAGAAAAATCAAGTGTTTCCCTCACTGTCATCTCTGGAGTATGCAGATCATATTGGCTTATGTAAGTTGAGGTTTTCTGAGGATTAAACTCGTCCAGTCCGTAACCATTGTAAGTTATTTCCCCTACAACCTTTTGCAGAAGAAAGAAAAAGATAATAAACACATTATAGCTTAGCAGTTGAGAAATTAAAATGCTGTAAGTAGGGGCTTGCGACTTCATATGGTGTTTCAGATCCTTCCCTTGGAAAAATTATAGAAAAATCAGTGGAAGACAGTAAACCAAGAATAACAAACAAAAATGATTCAGGGGAAGAAGTAATAAAAAAAATTATAGTAAGTCCAATCTTAAATCACATAGCCAACATGATCACGTTTACAGTAAAGCATGGTACGATTTTTACTGAAAACATACTCTGCATTTATCCAAGGAAAACTATCGACAACAATATTAGCTGCAATGTGAATGTGAGCGAATTCACCAAAGTGTCAATTGCCAAATTCAAACTGATAAACCCAGAACCACTGGATAAAGTCTCTACATACATTACACAACCAATTACTCTAAAACCAAACATCAGTCCATATACCATGGAGTGATAGTGCAGTAATTTTTCCTTTTGCTCTAGTTTTCCTTAAATTTTTTACTTTGACCCATAACTGCTCGTATAGACTTTAAAGTCAAAAGGGTTAAGGAAATATTAGCATTGGGACTTTAAAATTATTCAAATAAGACATTGATGTCACCTCGAGAGATGATTGCCTTAGTTTCCCAGCAAGCGCCATCAATAATGTAGTTTTGCCACATCCTGGAGGGCCAAGCAATAAAGTCATCCTAGATGGAATGGAATCCAAACAGAAGTTAGTCAACCTTGTTTGAATATGAAAAAAAGGCTTTATCTCTTCCCTTGTTGCATTAAGAAAAATGAAAATAGAGATCCATCCGATGGGGGAGCAATAAAAAAAATTCCCACCCCTCCCACAATTAATGATTTCATTGGTCTACCTTCCAGGTTTTAGGTTGCCGCTGACATCCTTTAGGATGCTTATCTTGGCTTCTTGTTTTGAACCTAACAGATTGGCTACACCCTGTTACAACAGCAGAGAGCATAAATAAACTAGCAACTTGCAAACTGAAAAAGATATAGAAACTACCATTATAAGAAATTGAAAATTGTAAAGTCAAGGTGTAGACATGAGCAAAGACAGGTCAACTACACAAGATTTGATTACAAGCAAGCCAAACAACAGTTTACCAACCACCACAACATTAAACTGAAGTTTAGCCTTGAGGATCCTTAGTGTGTGGAGCAATAAGGCGATAATAGACTAGGATCCCCATAAAATGCACAGTAACAATATCTGGTTGTCAATTATTTAAGATTTCAAAAACCAAAAGCAGAACAACCAAGATTGATACATATATACGATATAAATGCTTGACCCGCATCAGGATTTAATTATAGAACACTACATATAAGAAAGGCTGAAATTTGTAAATTCCAGGATTTTAGATGCTGAAAAATGAAAATGGTGATCTACAAATCTGTAGTAACTTAGGGAATCTATGCATTTGATGAGCACTGGCACTTACAGAAAACACACTTTTAGTAGCATTCCAGAGAGTGGGAAGAGGCTTGCCATGAACCAACTGGCACTCTGCTTGAACACACAAATTTTTATACCTCACTTCCACAATAGGCAACTGTACTCCAGCCCTGAAAATTAAACATATTCCAATCATGAATAAGAAAAGAATATCCATCAATGCCATAGCCAAGGCACTTTTAACTGAGAGAGAGAGAGAGAGAAAAGACGGAAGGGAAAATAACAGCTACCTGTCAATTCTGTCTCTAAGCTTTTGCAACAATCGCAGGTTATCATGTTCAATGTGTTTTATGAGATTCTCTATGAACATATGCCGCTCATCAGCTCCAAGTTTGGTGACATTAATAACTCGTTTCCTTTTGATATTCGCTGTGTCTGCCTTTCCCTCTTCCCTTTTGTCATCAAACAAAGCCGTAGTAACCCTTTCAAACGTTGGTAGTCTCTGAACTGCGGCCCATTGCAACTCATATTCATCATTATCATCAACTTCACAATGATGTTCAGAAATCACACTACGTAAACTTGACACCTGACTTCTGAATGAGGACCTTATGCTCCTTCCTATCTCTGCTAACTCAATTCGCATGGATTCAATCTCATCCGAACCCTCCAGTTGGGCCATTGGAGGATGAACCAAAGGGTTCCAAACTTGCAGAGAGGCAAAGCCAGAGAGAGAGATGGATACGTTTAGTGTTCTTGGAGGGCTGGAAGCTAATCTGTTACTTTCGAAGACAGAACCCTCCAATTTAGGTAGTGCATTGCGCCTCATATCACATCAGACAAGCAACCGGCTGCTTACAAAATGCGGGTAGGTATAATTTGTCTGATTTGAGTCTCTAATGTCTGTATTATTAAATGTTTGATTCCTTGCAATTTCTTTTATTTCAGAAGGCTCAGCTGAATAATGTGTAAAATACTGTAAGGAACAGCTATACATACACGAAATTTATGGACCATTGTCAATGAAAGTGGCAATGACCATCTTATGTAAGCTCACTGTACAAGAAGACTTGGTTTTGGAGACGTGGAAGATGATGTTTTGTGTATTAAATGAAGCTTAACACAGCACATCTAAGAACCAGTAGAGAATAAATAAGAAAGTGCAGCAAAAACAGAACAAGGAATATACATAGCTGGAAGAACAGAAGGCTTTTCCAAGCCTGATATGCATTAACTGGGGAATATTTATTTCATACAAGACTTAAGAGCAAAGTTAAAACCTAAGTTGTACACTGCAATACACTATCAGAGGCTAAACATCAGTTCAGCATACAGTAGGTGCAAAATCTGACATAAGGCATGACAGCAAGTAATCTGTCATATTACAAAACAGTAAGGCATGGACGCAATTTTGTTGACTTGGCGTAGAGGAGGTCTTCAATGCAAGCCTTAATTCAACACAAGATTTCAGTGTTGCTCTATTGGCTTGGAATTTCCTTTAAAAATTCCGTTCAAAGACCACCACGTGTTTACCTAATTCCATGGTGATCTTTGGAGCGAGGTCCATGCGCGGAACACATTCCATACTGGAACTGCAAACAAGCTCGCTTGTTCTGGTTAAAGGCTTAAAGCTTTAGGGAGAACGAAAGAACGTTAAATGGTTTCTGTGCTTTAATGGAAGAGGCTAAACGGTAGGATACAGCATGATATAGCGGCTTTCAGGTTTTTCTTTCTTTTTTTTTCTTGTGGAAGGATGTTCCCACTTTTCCGGACAGTATGTGCTAGCTGACAAGGTTCTGAATCAACAAAATTTTCAAACGCTAATAAAAATGTACAAGGAAAATTTAGTTCCATTTACTCCTATAACTAAAGAAGTCATCAGGATATAGGGAGAAGCTTGATGGATACATAAGCATAGAAATAAACAAAAATAATTAAGATTAATGGAACTCCCGATGTCCAGATACCAGCAACAAAACCTACCTCCTTTGGAAGTTCAGTCTTCCGATAACATAAGCAAAAAGGGTAGCAAACAGAACAGGGAAGACCAAGAGAACAACAGCTACTATGCCTAAAAATTCATGGTGAAAACCAAAGTAATCTTCTAAGAAAGCAGCAACCGTCTTAGTTTCTCCAAAAGCCGATATTTCTTTGTCAATATCTCCATACTGTGAAGTGAGCATGCCATTCAGTGCCCAAGACGTGGGACATAAATAATACAACCAGAGCCACCACTTTGGTATTTGCTGCAAGAAAGATGCAGAGATGTAACTGAGTTGCTATTTTTCCCTACTTAAAACATACTGGGGCACAAGATGCCATGTTCAGAAGTTTGAACTACAAACACCTAAAGTGGTCCTTCAATAAGACGTGCTCACCATCTTTTACCTATGCTATCAGTTTCACGCATGCGAATGTCAAGGTTTGACATGATCTCCGCCATGCAGAAACCATCTTGAACTACTAAAAATTTTGTACAGTTTACGAAATTAATCGGATAAGGACTTGATAATTTAGAAGCTTACTGGTCTTGGTATTATGAATCCAGAAAACAAATTCAGCATTGTGTAGGCAGATGATGACACAATGGAAGCCACTTGAACATTTGGAGTCAGTGACACTAGCAGCATCCCCAGGTAGTTGAAGTATAGCAGTGAACAAAACATACTATAGAATGACCAGAATATTTTATAGGCTGACCAATAGTAGCCAATCATTGGATATGTGATGATCACATAAATAACTGCTAGGATAAACAAGAATGGAATCTCAACAAACACCTACAAAATCAAAAACCATGTCATCAGGAGGAATCAAGAAGAGCCAGTGCAAAAGCCCCTTAATTATACATTGGTTACTATTTGAGGGCATAAAACTTCCAAGTCCAAAAACTAAAGAAAAAGGTCTTCCATGATCGAAAGAACCATGAAAATAATTGAACTACGGCGGTAAACAGGTACTTTTAAAGTCTAAACCAATTTCATCAGCTGCTTCTGTCTTGAAATGCTTTAAATTCAGACAAAATTAAATACCAAGTTTTTATGAGAAGTTTAAACCTGTGCAAATGAATAGGCCCATGAAGAGTACATTCCTGCAAATTTTTCCCGGTAAAAAACTGTGCGCTCTGTTGCAATATATGGTAGAACTGTTGAACAATTGTTTATGCCAAAGAAAATTATGACTGCATACATGGAACCCACTACATCGAACAGGTCTTGTTGGTTATTTCTACAAAACAAGAAACAGAACATGAAATCAGTCCTTTCCAATGGCATATACTCACAACTATAGCCTTGAGCATTTAGAGATATCCAATGCCAAGGTTTCCCTGTCATGATAGAAATGATTGTATCTAGATAGGGAGAAGAAAATGGTTTACATGCGAAAATGCATTCTGCTTGCTATGAGCCAGGGAAGATAAAGAGAGAAGCAGGCAGCTTGAATATTAAAGAATTATTTAGAGAAACAAATGTGACAAAAGGCAAAATAAATAAGTGGAGTTTCAAAGTTTGTGGTCACTGACATTTTCTTTCCTTGCTGCCAGAATAGCACGCCAAACAGCACAGACGAGGCAGAAATGAAAATGATGCGTGTCAAATTGTATGAAGGACTTCGCCAATAAGACAAACACTGTTTCCACAGGCATGCTTTGAGCTGTTCCCAACCATTCTGAGGGAAGCGACTAGGAAAATGTAAATCTTTTGAACCTGCAGTCGGTGAGCTCAACTGCTTAACCAACTCCTTATTTTCCCTACAGTGGCAAGACCAAAAGAGTCACATGCAAGGCCAACATTTTATACTTCCATGGCAAATGAATATTATTTTCAAGCTCCACATATTTTCTTAATAATTACTTTCTAATTTATATTTTCTCTAGTATCCTTACTTATACAAGGTGGAGCCCTTATAAATTTGAGCAAAATCTATGTCCATTCCTGCTTCTGCTGATTTAGAAGTAACTTCCAACATCCATGTTGCTGGATTATAGTTATCTTTGATCTTGGGCACTCCAGAGATATTCTATAGCAATAATGGGAGAAAGACTAATCAGCTTCAGGACCCAAATTATGTTTCTCAGAGACTACACGTATTGCATCTCAGACAATAGTGGGAAAAAGTATGAACTGTTATAATTTCCAAAGTTGACTACCTGAAAGTATTCAATAACCTTCCTGGAGTTATGACCCAGCGGCCCAGAGTAGATAATCCATCCCCCAGTTTTCATCAAAATCAACTGCAAGGAGAGGAATGCAAAATGATTTTCTTTTTCAATTACTGACGCAGAACTAGGAGCCTCCTCATGGAAAAGAGGTCCGAAGACAAGTTAATCCCATTATTTTGAAAAAGAAGAGGTATACAAAGTACTCTTACCTCATCAAATGCCTCAAAGATGTTAATACTTGGTTGGTGGATGGTGCAAACAACTGTTCTTCCCGTTTCAACAACATTTTTCACTGCTCTCATAACAACTGCAGCCGCTCTTGCATCCAAACCTGAAGTAGGCTCATCCATAAATATGATAGATGGATTGGCGACAAGCTCCACAGCTATGGTCAGCCTTTTCCGCTGCTCAGTTGATAACCCATTGACTCCGGGTATGCCTACTAAAGAATCTCTAATCCCATCAAGCTCTATAGTTTCAATGACCTTATTAACAAATTCCTGAGGATAATCAATAGAAAAATTTTTGTAGAATTCAATATCAATAATCAAATCCAGCATCGGATTTAAAAAAAAAAAGAATGTACAGTCATGGTCTGAAAAGGGTATCATACAGCCATAGTTTTTGAATCAATCTGGGATGGGAGGCGCAGCCAAGCAGAATACACTAGCGATTCTTCCACAGTGATTTGAGGAGAGTGTATATCATTTTGCTCACAGTAACCTGATACCCTTGCAAATGTATCTTGAACCTTCAGGTACCCACCAATTCTAATCTCTCCTTCAATAATACCACCAGTTTTTCTTCCAGAAAGAACATCCATAAGAGTTGTTTTCCCTGCTCCACTGACACCCATCAATGCGGTCAAAACACCAGGCCTGAATGCACCTGTAATGTCCGAGAGAAGCTGTAGCCTTTTATGCTTAAAACCTCGTTCTCTCATTTCCTGAAACAAAACAATGGCATCAGCAACTGAAGAATAACAACTGACAACTACATGAAAGATAAGTGTAAACAAGAGCTACCAAAGGGGTGTCTACGTAGTATTGCACATCTTGAAATGTTACAGTTAACGGCTCAAAAGGTAAAACCATTTGTCCTGTGAAATTTACAAATAACACCAGTAAGAAAAGCGGGAAGACATATGTAATATATCCACACATAAGATCTATTACCATGAAAGAGAAGCCAAATATACATAATCTACGTATCCTATGTGGTCATGTGGGCAATAAAACTTCTGCTTATCATGCTCACCAGTTTTAGACACTGCAACATTTCCAGGATCAACAGTAGGTTTACTATCATTGTCATCGTTTTTTCTGTGTAGTTGAGAGTATCTGTCAAAAGAAATAATAGCCCGAGACTTTCCTGGAGCTGAATGCGTATAAATGTATGGCTTAGCTCATATGCAAAAAAGAATTTTACTTATTAAAGAACCTATACTGATCAGCAGAAGATAAACTTACGCTTCAAGAAAGTCAAAGCAAAGGTAAAAACAACGTTGAAAAGTAGAATGAACCCAAATAAAGCTGCAACTGATATCCAGTAAAAGTAGCTACCGAAGCTCAATCCTCGACTTTCTAGAGTTTGTTGCCCTATGCTTGTATTTCCAGACATCTCCTGTAAATACAATTGAAAAGAATATGATATCCACAAACAAATGAATTAACTGTTGAAGGCTGACAGGATGAGATCATCATGTCATTAAACATGAAAATGTAATTTGACAGAAAAGAAAACTCTAAATCATATAGGGAAGAAAATATTTTCAAGCACTCGTTAGCATTACTACGTCCCAAAAAACTTTTGTAGGAACTAAAAGAAAGAAAGAAATAACATTAAACAGCCTAAACAGGCTGACTAAACCAACTACCACACCCTTACTACTGAGATTGTTGGAGCAGCCAATTACCTTTTCCCACCGGGGAGCAAGAAATTCATTCACAGTCAGGCCTATCTCACCATACGTCAAAGGAGAAAGCCAAAATCCCCATCCCAGCCAAGTCGGCATAGATGCTGCAACCAATAAAAGGAAGGTGGGAATTAGCAGAAAGGCTTAGCTCTTGTGTGAACGAATGTCATTTACTTTAGTTAGAAAATAGCTCGTAGAAATCTTACGTCTTGGGAGAATGAAGCCACCGAACAGTAAAATAATCATAATGGCTAGAGCACCGGCTGTTGTGGAAGCAACTATAGTTTGGAAGAGCGAGGCAATACAACGAAACATGGATATCGATGCTAGGTGCACACCAAAAAATAGAAGGAATTGACGGAAGAACCTAATAATGATAATAGAACATACAATAAATTGGAGTCAACACAGATGTTAAATCCACTCGTGGTGTAAAGCTGTGTAATTTAATCCTGAGAGTTAAATAGTTAAACTCATCAGCCACGAATTTCGTTTAAGTCCGACTTCCATATTATTGTCCTACATTACCAGCATATGATTTAGCTATTCCACAACAACAAAGGTTTCCATATGCAACTGACCTTCCAACCTCAGGGCTGTAGCCAATGACGTAATAAGTCATAGACGTCCAAACAAAGGACTCCAAAAGTGAAAGCGGAACTTTTAGGAGTGCTGCAGGAATCGCATAAGCCCAGGCAGGGTAGAAGCATAGCTCTCTCTGCTTATAGAAAACTGCAATTCTTGAAACAGTCATGCTTAACTCTGGAAACCCATCAACAAGAAGTATCACAAGTGCATAAAATAAAGAACCCATAAAATAACTTGAATGGATGACATCAACAGCCATTCGGGTGCGCAGGAAAACTGTCATTGTTATTGAAGCAATTATGACAAGCTGCAGAGAGAAACGACCCAAAAATATTGCTTTCAGATCTAAAGATAACCATGTATGCTGGTCATAAATGATGAAAGTATGAAGCAAACAAAAAGTAAATTACCTGGACAGATTTAAACACATAAGTAAAAGAATTTCTCTTCATTAGAAGAAACTCCCTCAATGAACAAGCTCTAAACAGCTCCCATTTACTCAGAGAGTATGATTTAAAGGATAGGGCATTTCTGTGGCTTTCAGATTTGTGAAATGGCTTGGAGAGCGCCTCATCTAAATTCAGGCCAATATGACATTCTTTGAATCTTTTTATGAACAGGTCAACAGAAACATAACTGTAAGGTTGCTCTTTGTAGTACCAATACTGCGCTTGATCTTTTCTTGAGATTACCTGAACCAGATAAAAAAGGCAACCATCTAAGAAATGAATGAAAAGATGGAATAAGACAACAATAAACCTCATAAGTATACCTCCTGAAGGAAGTCAGCAATGCCCTTTCTTTCCGGACACTTAAATCCACAGTCCTCAAAGAATTTGCAAATATAACTGCGCGGGCCGTGATACACTATTTTCCCTTCTGCCATCAGAATAACATCATCAAAGAGATCAAAGGTCTCTGGTGCAGGCTGAAGAAGTGATATCAATGCAGTAGCATCAGTAATATGCACCAGATGCTGAAGGCAGGACACGATCTGGAAAGCGGTTGAACTGTCAAGACCATTTGATATTTCATCCATGAACAAAGCTTTTGTTGGCCCCACAATCATCTCACCTGCACTTAGAAAAATAACTTACTGAATCTCTGGGTAGTTAATTCCACAACAGCATACAAAGCAGTATTCCTGCCAAGAAATGACCAAATGCCCTAAACTAGTAAGTCTACCCTCTAACCTCCACTACCTGTTGTCAGTCTTTTCTTTTGACCACCTGAGATACCTCTTCTTATCGCATCTCCAACCATTGTGTCTGCACAGATGTCAAGTCCAAGAATCTGAAAATATAACTTGTTTTAAAACAAATCCTTGTTCAGCCAAGTTTCAAAATGAAAGTACATAATATTCAGCTCTATAAAAGAGAAATGGTGAATTACCTTCAAAATATAATCAGTTTGGAGAGTGCTTTCTTGTCCTTCAACTGATATTGCCTGTGAAACAGATTTAAATACTAATGGTTAGACCAATAGAATACAGAACATTCTAAGAAGCATGAGTATATAATGCGTTCAGAAAACTGTGAGAAATTATTATCAGAATTGAATTGGAACAACAATTTTCTCCTTTTATGAGTATAAACGTAACAGAGACTCTGCCCTTTGATAAAGCTAATTGGTTAAAAGCAGATTGAACCTTACTTTAATTCATTTGGTGTCGCAGGAAATTCATGTTAAGTGAATCATGCCAAGAAATACGCATATGCAACAAAATATCCACTCCTTATCAAGGATTAAAACCCTCTAAAGCATACATAGCATTATGCCCAGCAAGAATGAGAAGCAAATTATAGTGTTCTAATTTAAAGGCTAAAATCCATATTTTATCAAATTCCTTTCTGTGAAACAAAGAGCCCCATCCCCCCGCCTCCTTTCTCACTTTGGCCTTGCTCAACTGTACCCTGAAAACATTTCTTTCTGAACAAACTCTAAGGCGCAACACAGTCACCATACGTATATTTGAGTAAATTATGGAACATTGCCTTTACTAACAAGAAACGTTGTGACCTTGGAAAGAAAATGGACAAGCCAAATGTTTACCTTCATATAAGCATCTATGTCAGGATCAGGGACCACCCCAGCCTGCTTCTCTCTCCGGCTGACTTCTTTCATGATTTCTTTCATACAGATAAAATAAAATAAAAAATATATATGTAAAATAAATTACTGAAACGGTATCCAGTTGAGAACCTGACCAGATTAAAATATGTACACGAAAATCGCTTGGTAATATCGTCAAGGAGCTCTTACCAGCTCGGCTTCCTATTCCCTGGAAACGTGCAGAAAATTCTATTATTTCCCTAACTGTCATCTCTGGGGTATGCAGATCATATTGGCTTATATAAGCGGAGGTTTTCTGAGGAACGAATTCTTCCAGTCGGTAGCCATTGTAAGTTACTTCCCCCGCAACCTTTTAAGAAGTAAAGAGTGAAAAAATTTATAAGAAAGCCCATTATTGTCTTGGTGATCAAGATCCTACTAAACACTAATGGCTTGGAGTACCTGGTGGTCATTCAAATCTTATAGCTCGATGCAGCCCTTTTTTTTTTTTAACACATACAGAAGAGCTTAAGGCAAAATGCAGCATAGAGCTTTATGAAGTTAACTGAGTCTTAACCAACCAAATTCATATTAACTTTTTCAATGCTCTCAGAGTTGGAAAAACATTGCAGAACTGCTAAATCCAGCTTATATAAACATCAAAATACCAAGTAAAACTGGAATGGCTGAACCAAGTTTTAGAACATTCTTAAACTATACTTTTGCCTAAAAATGGTGAATTATACTGTAGAAAACTTCTTTTTTTTTTCTAATTTTTTACCACAAACTCTTTTATTTCCATTTGTAACAGCATAAAGCTCATGTCGCAAGTAACACTTTAAAATATTTCTAAGAAGACATTAGCATCAGCAGACCTTAAGAGATTGGCTTAGTTTCCCGGAAAGCGCCAGCAGTAATGTGCTTTTACCACATCCTGGAGGGCCAAGCAATAACGTCATTCTGCATGGAAAATGAATGAGATTTAGTCAATTGAGACAGAAAAAGCTATTCAAAGAGAAACATTTAGTAACAGATAAATGTAAGTTGGAACGATTGGTTGAAAAATTACTGGTTCCCTTTTTCTTTGTCCTTTATTTCTCTCTCATTTGACTAATTACTAGTTAAAAAATTCTTTTCCTCTATTTCTTATGTCTGACAAATATAAATGATTTCACTTCTTTAAGTGTACAAGAGAAAACCACCTAGGCTGTAAGGAAAGCTAGAATATGATCATTAGAAACCCAAAAACTGACAGATGCTTTAGGCATCAGATGTCTATGTGTATATAGTGCAGCTTCGGGCTCAATCAAGCTCACTCTATTTCGTGAAAATGTCAATTCATTCAATTAATAAGCATCAAAGCTGGCAAAGACAACCACACACACTATATCTTTTACCCTATTTTGAGTTGGTTTTCCATTCAGTCTCGGAAGACCAAAGCAAGTGTGATTGAATTTTCCTTGCTGCCCTTTAAATCCTGTCTTGGAGGAATTGTGCTTGTGCACATGTTTTTTTATTTTAATTGTCATAGGTTGTCTGAGCTGCAAGTTTAGATCTGCTGCTCCGTGTTTTAGACTCAAGTCTAGTACTAGCAGTAAGTTTTTTGTACATGACTCAAGGTGTCTTATGTCCTGTCCAAGCAGACAAATTCTGTGTTGGATATTTTCAAATAAATATGATTTCATATCGAAAAGAAGGGTTGCGTCTGTTGAAAATTAAATCAATAGACACTATAAAGAGTCATGTCTGTTGGGAAAAGATCACCAGAAGCAACTCTTTGTAACAGACACAATAGTGTCTGTTGAGAACAGGCATCTATGCCTATAAAAGATGACCCTCATTATCCATTGAAAATAAGAAAAAACAACAATATCTCTCAATCTTCTTTCTCAAACATTTTCCAAGTTTTCTTCATATTTTCCTGCAGAAAAGATTATAAAAGTTTGATAATCTTGTTATACTCCGGTGAGTGCTCAGTGGATTGATTTCGTCAGTGCAAAACGCCATCAATCATTGGCTTCATTGTATCTTCGAGTGTTATACGCCGGTAACTCTTTTGCACACTTAAGTGGGGGCGAATAAAACCTAAAGGATAGTGACATTGATACACACCTTGAAGGCCAATTTCTAAGTTTTTCAGTTTGGTGTTCTAACATTCTGGCTTGCTCTTTTGTTCTCCCTGGACTATTCCAGGTTTTCTCTTATGGGATGATTAATAAATTTCTTATCTTGACTGAGAAAAAAGAAGATATCTCAATTCATCGGACAGAGTTCATCGGTGCCTTTCTAGCTATATAGGATTAACAAAAAAACTGAACAATTTCTGAGTACTCCAGGGGTGTACCTTCCTGGTTTAATGATACCGCTGACATCTTTTAGGATGCTTATCTTGGCTTCTTGTCTTAAACCTGACAGATTGGTTAAACCCTGTGACAAGCAGGAAAAATGAAACTTAGCAAACTTCAAAATAGGAAAAGGAAACTGTTTTCAAATTTCTGAAATGAGTTCCTGGTGATCAAAGGCTAATCAACTTCCCATGGCGTTTGATTATGGGAGAGCATAGCAACTAAAGGGCTTAATTACTTGAAGAATATAAAAATTATCCACTGATGGACCCGGCAATGGATATTGAGAAAATAGTATTCAACAATTCAAAGGGTTCAATAGATAGAAGCGGAATAGTCAAGACTGCCTTCCGGGAAAGCTTTGTTAATGTAACAAAGCAGAGGATATGAAGCAGAAAAACCAGAGTAGAGATTGAACAAAGAGTCATATATTCTTCATTAAGTTAACACAGAGGTTATATACTCTGTTGCACATGATGAACACTTGTAACCATCCTTAACAAGTGTAAAACAAGTTTACAGGCAACCTTACACGTCATGGGACAGCACTAAGATGGTATTATCTCTAAAGAACAGTACAACGAAGCAAACTGATAAAAGCAAATAAACTAAGATGATTAGAAAACATTCACTAGCAGCAGCAGCCATGCAAGTATTACAACTTAACAAGCTTAAGCCATACCAGGATTTATGTCGTAGAATTAGCACTTATAATGAAGGGCAAAAGCTTTTAAGCTCTGAAAAGTAAACCCAAATAATGAGCACAGGTACTCACTGAAAGCATGCTTTTAGTGGCGTTCCAGAGAGTGGGAAGAGGCTTGCCATGAACTAATTGGCATGCTGCTTCGACATTGAGATTCTTATATCTTACTTCCACAGTCGGCAACTTTACCCCTACCCTGAAAGACATATTAAGTTGTAACTTATAAATCGCAATCACATATTCATAGTTGCCATTACCGCTAAAGTTTCACTTTGTTATATAGCTAAGCATTTAGAACCGAAGTGCATGTGTGCCAGAGAGAGAACAAGGACAAAAGAGAGGGGTAATGAGTTACTTGTCAATTCTGTCCCTAAGTTTCTGCAGCAGACGCAGGTTATCATTTTCAATTTGTTTGATGAGCTTCTCTACAAACATGTGCCGCTCATCAGCTCCAAGTTTGGTGACATTAACAACCCGTTTTCCTGTGAAATTTCCATTGCCTGACGTTCCGTTTTCTTCCTTATCGTCAAACAAAGCAGTGATAATCCGTTCAAACGTCGGCAATCTCTGAACTGCAGCCCATTGCAACTCATGTCCGTCATCAACATCATCACATTCACTATGATGCGCCGAAATCACGCTGCGGAAACTTGACACATGGCTTCTGAATGAGGACCTGATGCTCTTTCCAATCTCTGATAACTCAATCCGCATAGATTCTATCTCGTCCTGACCCACCAGTTGAGCCATTGCTTGATGAGTTTCCCAAGTTTTAGAAAGTTAGGAGCCAGGAAGGAGGAGTGCCTATGCGAGTGTATAAATACAGATATTCCTTGGAATGATTAAATCCGTTACGTTTTCAGAAACATAATTAAACTAGAAGTGGATGAGGTAATGCAATGCGTCATGCCTCGTGTGTTGTTGTCATGGACAGGCTCACAGCAAGAAAATGGCCACTGAATTTTGAAAATGCTGCGGGCACACATGGACCAGTCTGATGAAGTTGAGCACCGCTTCTATTCAGGCATATACACATTGCTTACATATTTGTTGACGTTCGAAGAGACTAAGCCAAAAATGGTTAAATTAATGTTGTGAAAATAAGAAACAAAACTTTGAACAAAGGCAGCTTATAATATTTAGAGCGTGGATCATTCCGTTTAGACCAAGCAAAAATTTATTCCCCTGACTTTCAACTTCTGAAGCATTGGATTGGTTTGGATTGGAGTGCAGTGCTGTGCAACCTATATATATGTCATCAACACAACATTTTTCTAACATTTTTCATCATGTATCACTATCCTTGAGTTTAAAAAATCTATTACATATTTTAAGATTTTTCATTTAACCACGTGTCAGCTAAATCACTCTTACAATCCATGAGTCAGTCAAATTTTACGAAGAGTTTGTCACGTTACGTTTGCTCATGATTCAAATTATTATTATTTTTTTTATCCATGAGTCAGTTAAAGTATATTTTTAAATTAGGAGTTTTAGATCTTTGTCACTCACTTTAACAAAAAGGTTTTAAATCTCGCGACCATGCTAAGTTTTACTAAATGGAAGCTTTCAATCGTCAATTAAACAAAAAAATATCAAAAAATTCATCTAATTAAAATGATATTTTGAAAATAATAAAGTTCAAAATTGATAGATTTATCACACTGTCTATTAATACTTAAGCGAAAATTACAGAATATAAGTCTTTTGATAAATAATAAAAATAATAATTAATTAAATAAAGTCAATAATGATTATATCAGTATTAGGATGTATTAAGATATAAAAATCAAATATTTTTAAAAAAATTATTTAAATAAGAAATTTTTCTTAGTAAAACATGAGAAAATATTTTTAAAATGTTAATTTTTTAAAATAATTATTTTGAATTTTGTATTATTATAATATTTTTAAATTTGAAATTATTTATTATTTTTAGTTTTATTTATAATGTTATTGAATTTGAAATTATTTTTAATGAAAAATTCAACACCAATGCGAAGCCGGGCACCACTCTAGTCATATTAACAACAACAATAGGTGAAAGCTGGGTAGAGGGACGGTTGCCGTGTGGCACCCTCCCAACTCAAATGACATTTTTGTTTTAATTTTTTTTCTTTTGCTTAAAAAAAACCCAAAATTTTATTTTAAAATAAGGTAGTAGTCCTATCAGGCTGGCTGAGTGCAGTTCTAAATTTTATGTAATCCAAAGAGAAACCCAACACCACAGATTCCCTTCTCTTCTTTTACAGGTCACCACTTGAAATGGATGAGGCAACAAGAATCATCTCTTCTAATGTCCAAGGACAAATTAACTATGTAGAGGGTGAGTTAACATGCTGTTCAGGAAGTAGTAAGAATGGCATTGAGAGAGAACAAAAGAATAGCAAAGGCCAACGGCAGCCTCAAGTCCGTCACAGAGACATTATCATTAGACAGTATTTTAACAATAGTTGCAAGACATCTATTCTGGCAATTCAAAGTATATGGTGTCATTCAGTAGATATTTGGACAAACTGGCACACTGGAGAAGAAATACAATAGTTGACTCAAACGCGTAAAGAGAATAGTGTCTAATCTATTGTGCCAGATTCTTTCCACACCACACGGCAGTCAACAAAAACAAGGAACAGTACATCTTTGAGATTTCACAAAAGTCAATACTGGCATTTGCAAGTAACTGAACTACCCCCACGGTGTAGATGGCCAACAGTTAGATCTAATTATGACAACTTTGTACATAAAAATACAGATGCCCACACGGCTTCCATCAAAACATCAATGAACCCCAAAAGGTTTCCGTCACAAAAGATCTAAGAGAAGCAGCAGTAATCAGCCATCCATTGTACAAGGCCAATGCAGAAGCTGATCATTTAGTGACTCGATTCAAGAAGACCACAGTCGCGTTAAAGAGAAAGTTATGCTTCTCCGATTTAGTCATGGGAGAAATACAGTAGAAGCAGTTGCACTGTTATTGGTTTCCTTACAGTGGACTACTCAGGTAGAGTACCATTATTAACCAACTCCTGTTTTAGTTGCTCCAAATCATAGATCTTGTCACTCATACCTTCCTTTCTATATGCCTCCACCATGATGGAGAAGGTCATTGAATTTGGTTGGCATTGCTTATCTTTCATCCGTTTAAAAACTCTCTCCATCTCCATTAAATCCTCTGCCTTTGCACATGCAGATATAACAGCATTATAAAATGAGGAATTTTCAGGTATCTCAAACTTGGCTGCCAACTGTACACTGCTAATAACTTTATGAAAGAGACCAGCATTGGCATATCCATTGATAAGGCAGCAAAGGGTCTTGGTGTCTGCTTTCATCCCTTCAGCCCGCATTTGATCAAATGTGTATTCCATGTGTTTTGCATCCCCCACATCAGCAAATGCCTCAATGACATTGTTGTAAGTTGAGGTTGTCCATGGAAATTGAAGCTTACGCATGTATTCCATCACAGATGACATTTTATCATACATTCTTTTCTTCCCATAAGCACCAATCAAGATATTGAAAGTGCGCGTTTCTGGCTCAATTCCAAAATTACGGAATTTCTCATACCATCTCTCCATCATATCAATCTGACCTTTGTTACCAAACACACTAAGGATGATGTTCATTGTCCATACATCAGGTTTGCTAGCAGAGCTCTCCAACATGCCAGATAGCACTTTCTCCATCTGCTCAAATTTCCCCGCCTTGCCATATCCACTTAATACTATGTTCTGGGTAACTGTATTTGGAGTTATCAACCGCTCGTCCATGTCCCCATACAGTGATTCAACTAAGTCAAACCGCGAGGCATCAACACAAGCCTTAATTATGGTACTGTACGTAAAAACATCAGGCTGGCAACAAGGGAGGGTTTTCATTTGGTTAAGAGTTGCAAAGGCATCGTCAATGAGATTGTTTCGACAATAAGCTCCGAGTAATGCTGTGTAAAGCTCGGGAGTAGGTTCACATCCCTCTTGAACCATTTCGTGAAAAAGCTGACGGGCACGGTGGGGTTGCCCGGATTTTCCAAGAAGAACAAGTAGTTTCATATAGGTGCCTTCTTTTGGTTGGTAAAAGGGTTGATCTCTTAGCATCTCAAATACCTGAATATTCAAATTGGCCACCGTCACACAAGAAGAAAGCAATCATACTCACTTGTTTAATTTCAGAAACAAGAATCCTACGGCAGCCAAAAGGGCACTGTTTTTGTCCCCAAAAGTCTAAACTTTTCAAATGCTAGTAAGGGGCTTGCCGTTTCTACCCGCATGGATAAGCAAGACCAAAAATTTAGCATCTACAAACTAATAAGAAACAAATCGAAACGTTGTAACACATTGTTATGTTAGAATTTGAACACCCAGAGGTCGAAAATGAAGAGGAAGAAGAAGAGAAGCAGAGAGTGACCTGGAGAGCTTGAAGCCACTGCTTCTTGAGGATGCAGTCGGACAAGGCTTCAGTGACGGTGCAGACCCAGGCTTTGGCGTTGTCCCTGCGGTCGAGTTTCTTCTTGAGATTCTTGAGGGGGGTTTTCTTGGAAGACCCA